CCCCCCCCCCCCAATTTGTTAAAAATCACACATCTCTTGACAGTCATTTAAATGCCAGTAACTCTGCCCAAACACTCTTTCCCTCAGGCTCACTGGCTTTCAAGCCGTTTCTAATGACCATTCCCAATGCCCGGATCCCCATGTCCTGCAGTCTGATCTTGCATCTCTAAAAATAGCTTCCTTTTATGTTTTACCCTGGATTTTCAGAAGTCCCCAGAGGTCCCTCATCTGGGCTTCGCCTCCTAATTACCTGTCCCAGAATCTCTGCCAGGCAAGTCTCCCTTCTCCTGTAATGCAAACGTTAACCCACTTCAACCTCCACTAATTAGAACTTTTTCCTACCTGAGCTAGACAGGGATACTCTCAAAACCACAGGGAGAGGGTACAGGCATTTGTCATGCTTCCTTACCCCCACCTGTATCTCCTACTTGAAGAAATCATGTTCTGAAATTATCACTGTGGGTTATTCCCTGAGGTCCTGAGACCTTTTGATCTTTCAGTATTTTTTGTTACGGGTTCAGTCCTCCTGGGAGTGTAATATACATGTCTGCCCACAGTGCGGAGGGCGAGAGCAGTGAGCCCAGCATGCTGAAGACAATCGTGCTGCCCCGCTCCTCAGAGGACATTGTAAATGTCAGACACAAAGCAGCACTGAGATCAACCACAGAAACCGTGTAGCGTAAATCAAAGATATCAAAGACAGCGTCAAAGTAACTTTTCATTGAGATAGAAAACAAAAGCGAAGTCTGAGAACATTTTGGTGAGTCAACATAAGATACCATTGGCCCCCTGGGCACCCTATGCTTTGGACTCTCCTTCAGTCTAGTCATCTTTGGGCCATGGTTGGTTGAGGTTTCATCCTTGGTAACTGATTGTTTGAAGTGTCCAAACGGGTCATTCTGGTTTCTCCTTGGTAACCTCAGCCTCTTTTACTTAACTCCCTGGCCCCAGCTCTTCTCCATGCTGCTGCTTCTCTCACATGGTTCAGAGTTCATAGAATTCTTAGGACAGAAAGCATGAGTCATCAGTGTCCCAGAACATAATAGTCCTATCTGGTTGCAAATGACAAATCGACCTGAACTGGTTTAAGCAAGGGATATACTAGCTTTTATCTGAAAAGTCCTGGGGAACTGCTGACTTCTAGGCCACTTGATTCAGAGGCTCAAACAAGGTCCTCTGGACTTGGCATCTCTCCATCATCTGCTCTACCTGCTTCTGGGTTGGGTCTACTATAATGAAAGGCCTTATCTCACACCTCCCAACTCCATCCTTGGCTCACATTGGGTCACCGCAGAGCCAGTCACTGTGGTCAGGAAGTTGAGATAAGTTGAACAGTGAATGGCCTGGAGCTGGGCCAGCCTTGCCCATACCTGAGGGTGGAAAGGAGTGACTAGCCTAATAAGAACCAAGGTGCATTTTCAGACGACTTGGAAGTAGATGCCAACTGGAAAAAAAGCAAGAAGTGTCCACTGCATAGGCTGAGGAGTGGTCTCAGTAGAGTTATTTCCAACTGTAAACCATGGGCTACTAGATTCATACAGGGTCTTTAAAAAAAAAAATGCAGAGACCTACTGAATCAGCATATCTGGGGGACAGGGCTTTGCAACTAGTATATTTATTAAGCTCCCCCATTGACTCAGATTTGCAGCCAGCTGTGAATTACTGCTGCTCCTCACAAGGACTGTTCAGGACCAAGGATAGCAGTCAGTCATGGACCTGCTAATGCTCATGCAGGCCTGGGTAGCAAGAACAGCAGGGCCCCAAATGGGGGAGAAAGTCTCTAAAGAGGGGCTCCCCTGTAAAAGTCCTGTCAAGGCAGTACCATCTTAAGAAATGGGAAGCTGCCATTTTTTAATTTTTTTGCCATTTCAGTGCTCACATCTTGTTTTTTCTGCTCCAGAACCCTTGTGGTGGCAAAGCCAGCTGCTTGCTTTGTCCTTCGGCATCTGGATTCAAGGCCTTACAAAACTTTAATCTTCATCATTCCCTTAATGTAGTGATAAATCTATAGCTGGTCCCTGAAATCAATAAAGACATATTTAAAAAAAAATTAGAACATACTTAAAATTTAAGCTAATTACAAAATTAAGAAATTCCTCTAATTAAAAAAAATCAATTATTTTGACTAAAAAAAAATCTAACTATTGTCTCAATAACTATGATTTAAAAAAGAATTACATAGGTACAGAATTAATGTTTTGGCAGTTGTTCAACAGACAAAGTACACCTAGAGAACATGACAATTCTTTATTTATCCTAATCCAGCCAGTATTGAGATAGTCTGCTATATTAAAAACAAGACATTAAAAAAAATTACAGCACAGTTAGCTAGGCAGTGACTAAGTCACCAAGTTTAATTATATATTCTTCACAGTCATTTGATAATCATGTAATGATGAATAATATTTTCAGCCATTTTGGAGATGTTAACTTCTGCAGGGAGAATTCTATCAGTTGTCACTGAATTTCATATAAGAGGTTTAAAACATTACTTTATAGAAATAACACAGTAAAGCAATGTGAAATAAACTGAAAAACACAAAATATACCCACCCATCCCAAAAATCTACAGCATCCCTTTTAATCTGTCCCCTACTGCCTTTCTTTTACTTCTTTATTCCCTTTTCCTAGTGTGAACAGACTATTTAGCAATTAAGAAACAACTACTACTCTGTAGGGGCTATTTTGAGCCTAAAGTGCCTCAGTTCCTTTAATTTCTCACTTAATCCTAGAAATATCTTCTGAGGTTGAATACTACTTGCATTTCAGAGATGAAGAAAACTATAGCTGAGAGAAAGTTAAGCCACTTGGCCAAGGTCAGGTTATTAAAAGCAGAATTAGCATTTGAACCCAGGTCTACCCAACATGAGTCAGCTCATGCTCATTGCTTCATGGTGGTGCAGGCCACCTTTCTAAAGAGACTGGGACATGGTACTTCTTGAGCTAATAAGGCTCTTTAGATTTAAGAGTGGCTAGAGGCCATTCTTGGTCCCCAGGCACTTGCAATTCCCTTCCCTGCCCCAAAGGGTTAGTCAGTTCTCTGGCCCTCACAAGCCTTGATGCCAATAAATCCAAGCAGCTACTTCCCCATCTTGGACATTGAAGTAGTAAAAGGGGAACTGTGTGCTTATATAACTTTACTAAAGGCTGCCTAAAAGCTGTTCTATATAACACAATTATGCAGAAAATATTGTCATTTCTTCTCAAAAATTAATAAAAGCCAATATATTTTATAATTACAGCTATATAACCTAAGCTACTTTTATATATAATCATAGATTTTTATTTCCCTTCAGAACTATAGCAGTGTTTTGAATAAGGCTACTGTCAAATATTCCCTTCCTCCCCAAATAATTACAACTTTGAATGTTCAACAGCCATTCACATCAACTTCAAGTTATAACTCAAAATTAAAACATTTGTACTATAAAAAGATACCAGTCTTAAATTACTCAAGTTAACATACTTTATTGCAATCTCAAAGCTCAATCTATATTTGCTACATCTCTAAAGAGAAGTGGCCACTTATCAGTAAGGGGAAATGTTTATTATTGTCATGCATTAGGTATTGTAAGCAAGAAAATAAATAGGGTTTTTGGAACTAACTTCTAAAAATTTAACTTTAATTAAAGAAAGTAACTGCAAGACCATTTAGATTGCTGAACAACATTAAAAGGGCCAATATTAAAAATGGCTTAAAAATAAATAATTGCTTTTTAAAAATGAATATAAAACTAGTTAACAGTGATTAAGGTACTTACCCTTATCAATATGACAAGCAATTAAAATCTATAAACATTAGTATTGGGTTTTTTAATAGTAAACTGTCTTAAGCCAAAAACAATGACCTCAATATTTACTCAAGACTTAAAGGAGGTGATCAGCATATACCTGAATAACTGACTCAATGAAAGAGAAGAGTAAAATAATTTTATTGATGTTTTTATTTTTGCAAATCGTTCTCTGTGCTCAAACTACTATAATCTGGCAGCTTTAATTTCTAGAAATACGGATTTAAAAACCTTATTCCAATGATGGAAGGACCTGACGGGTCTCGGTCTCGGTCTCTCTCTCTCTCTCTCTCTCTCTCTCACACACACACACACACACACACATAATTAAGACTGCACAAGTCAAAATTACATTATGAACTGAGATGTCAACATTATATAAATAATATTTAATAGTGAAAAAGTGATCTGGAAGCCCTGTGAATTTTTACCCTACATGTTTTGGAGAACATCACATGGGTTAAGAAAAACAACAAAATCGCATTTGTTCAGATAATCATTTGAATGTTTACATACATTTTTGGTTTGCTATTTATTTATAACTAATTTAATTTACATTTTCTCATATTAACATTTACTCCTGTTTAACATGTAATCAAATTATGCCAGTGAGAAAAATCTTCATAGTACCTTCATTGAGTTGCTGATTCTAGGAAAACACTGAACATGAACATGTACAAAAGGCATTTGAATAAAACATGTGCATTTTTCAATATTTGCACAGGCTGATCCTTACATTTCTGTCTGAAGAAAATATGAACAAAGCCCAGGTTCACCATGCTAATATAACGGTTCAGATGACTGCCATAGAAGACGTACATACAGAATAATGAGGACAGATCACATCCTTAGGCTCCGCGATTACTGAGAGGATTTCCTCGGGCCCTAAGTGCTTTCTTTATTATATTTCTTAAAAATACGAGAGCATCAGCTTATCACAAGTCTCCACTACTGTGCATTAATGATGGAATCAAAACAACACAACAGACTCATAAGGATGAGGACTGCAGAACGTCTGGAAGTCACAGTTTTATGCTTCTTCTTGCTCTGGATAATTTAGAATTTTGCGGTGTGCCTGACGTAAATATTGCTGCTGTTTGAAGTAAACCTTGAATGCTCCTTTAATGGCAACAAAAGCAATTCCACCCTAAAATAAAAAGGAAAATTAGCTTTTTGTAATGTGGATTTAGAGAAACATAATAAGTTTTCTGAGGTAGCTACCATTACCATCTTCATTTTACAGGCACAGACGTCAAGAAATTTAAGTTTCTCAGCAAGGCAGTATCTGTGATAGGGTCTGAACCAGGCAGTCTGACCCTAGAGCAGAAGCTCTTCACTATAACCTAGCTGGGAAGAGGATGGGTGTGATAATTCATGCATATTCCAAGAGAGAAATCACCCACAGGCCAGAGCTACTGCAGTGGACCCTTCCCTTTTTGCTATTGGATGACAGTGAGGATCAAATGGAGGAGCCACAGAATATTGATACAGTCCCATTGGTTTTTTGCATTTTTTTGAAACAAATATACAATTCATTCTCTTTTGTCAGTCACTTGAAAAAAATAATATTAAAGCCATCTTACCAAGATTGTCCTTTGTAAATTAGAGTTGACACTACTAAACATCAGTTTACCAACTATAGTCGCAATAGTAGGAAAGACAAGGGCTCCACATAAAATTCGGGTGGCAGAGACGTGATCTGCCAAAGGATTAGCCTCAGCTGGAATTCGAGGAACAGGACAACCAATCCCTATAGGGAAAAAATGCAGGGTATTAGTGCTAATAAAGTAGCACTGCTAAAGTATCTCTTTATGCAAGGATTCTTCCACAGGATTAATTTGGCATGCTTGTTACAACCACAATTCAGGGCCTTACCTGGAAATATACTGTTCAAAATTTGTAGTTTATTTGAGTATTTGCGCCATAGTCTAAGCACATAATCCTCCCAGCGAATCATCTTGCCTAATATCAGCATGACAGGAATAGTAGGAAGTCCAATTAAAAGGAATAAAGGATCAGCTCTCTCCATAACATCCAGACCTTCTTTATGGCCTACAACCTGTGGAACAGACAGCATTTGCTAGAATCATTTCCTTATCTAATGAAGGGATGTGGCATGCTCGAGCTCAATTCATTTTAGAGGAAATGCTAAATATCTAAAGAATACAGAAATAAAAAGTATAAAAAATAAGCTGGAAAGCCATCAGTCCTGATTTATTTATAAGTGCCTCTCAAAGGGGAGGAGGGGACCTCCCAAGTGATACCATATTACATTAGAACATAAGCTTTAAAAACGGTGACCCACATTGATTACATTTGAATAGGAGGAGACTTCTGGTTCTTGCTTCCATTCCTTCTAATTGATTTGGTTCGCCTGGGCTATTTTAGGTCTTATCTGTCTTCTAGCAGAGCATGTTTTCCTGTTATTCCTATAGGAGGTAAGCATAACCAGCCAAGGGGCAGGACCTGCCTTCAGGAGATGGCCTGAAAACTCACGTCCCTTTGGCTCTTTCTCCTCACTCAGTAGTGTCTGGGATAGTGAGATCACTCTGGTTGGATGAAGGTCTGCTTTCCACACCTAACTTCCTAAAATGCAATTCCAAGGTCTATATTTGGGGGACTGCTCTAGAGTTTTGGCTACAGGTTCCAGTCATTTTTTCCAATCTAGGAACCCTCCAGTGTCCTGTCTCTGGTGTAATGAATCTAAAACAATCCCGCCCCTCTCATCTGGGTCTTAGGGCTATTTCTCAATTGGTTTAGATCCCAGAGGGCAAGAAGTACACGATTAATTCGTATTTGTGAATCTCTATATTTCCCCTCCCAGCAGAATCCTTTCCACTTAATCTCAGCCTTACACTTCTCTCAACACCACCACTTTGTTGGTGAGCTCCTTATTTTTAACTAGACGATTTCCCTGAAAATTCTTCTTCAAAGGTCTCAAATGATCTCCCTTTTAGCCAAAAGTTTCAATTGCTCACAAATTAAACATATTTCTCTGAGGGATTATTCTTGGCAGTTAAAAGGGGAGGAAACTAGTTCGGAAGCCCACCCAAGGTATCACACAATGAGGCAACAGCCTGGTAGCAGGACACTACTGTAAAGGACTCACTATGTAAGTTTTTCTGATCACACTTGAGAAATAAGCCAGGAAGAAAGGATTACAAAGGACACTGTCTACATTTTTTATAGGCAGGAGGGAAAAAGAAGGGCAGGCAAGCAGGGAAAGGAAAGAACGTAGAGAGGACTAGAAGTTGTCAGGGTTAATATATACTCAGAAAAGCAAGCTCACCAGGTTTTTTTCACAAATGAGATGCCCTTTATGTCAGCTATTATAGCATTTTTTTTTTAGGTGGACTACAAGATATGAAATAAGGTCAAGCTGAGAATGATCAAGGCAAGTTGAAATTATAGAAAACACACTCGATCTAGGTAAAAGTATTTTATAAAAGTATGTGGAAAGAACCAAAATGGGTGCTTTTAAAATTTCAGTCAGGGATACAGCCCAGACTTGCACTGTTAACTTATCTAACCAAGATGTAATATTAAAGGGCAGGAGGAGAGCCTCTTCCAAATGGTCAAAAACCATGGCATCAGTACCTGATACTCTTCAGTGTCTCCAGGTAGAAACTTAACAACTTCACATCCTGCATGTGAAGGGTGATCATCTGGAGTTGCCCTAAAGTGAAATAGCCTGGCTCACAGTATTTCATAAACCCTAATCCCACACTGGCAGCAAAGTAGATTAGGCAAGAGACCGTCTTTACCTATAATGCTTTTCTGGACATCCCATTTTTTATATCTTTTATTATTTTCAATATAATGATCACTTTAAACTTATAACTAAATGTAATTTAAAATACTCTCAGAAAGTGTTGGCAAACAAATTTGAAATTTCCTTTACTGGGTTATGTATTGTTTAGAATTTAGAGTTCAAAAATACAAAGCAGAGTGAATATTCAGGTATGTTTATTCCTTGTGGGTAGCAGTTAAAATCTTACAGCCAGGTGTCTAAGAATGAGGAAACAAAAAAGGAAATAGGGCAAACAGTGAGCAAAGGCCCGCCATCCCACTTGTTACATACAGCTAAAGAGAAGAGAGATGCTTTGTGCTCAAGCTAAGGCTCACCATGCATGAACACTTGCATCCGTTCATTTAACTGAACTCTGATTATGTGCCAGACACAGGCCTCAGTGCTAGGGGTTAAATAGTGAGCTAAATGATGTCTTCTGGAGGTGAGAGACAACCAAGTCAAACAAGTGGGCAAGTATAAATGCTGTAAAGAAAACAGAATAGTGTAATGCCTGTAGAACACTACCTGCTACTGTCAGACCCAAGGGCAATAAATGAAAGGTGAATTAAGCAATGGGGCTCATTTAACTTGGTTAATACAAAACCAGCAAAGTTTGTGTAGATCATGTACACTCTGGTTTTATGCCAGAAGATCTAAAAACAGATTATTTTTTTGAAACAGACTCACAGATACAGTACTGACTGATGACTGCCAGAGGGGAGGGGGGAAGGAAGATTGGGTGAAAAGGGTGAAGGGATTAAGAGGTACAAATTTGATAGTTACAAAACAGTCATGGGGATGTAAAGTACAGCACAGGAAATATAGTCAATAATATTGTAATAACCATGAATGGTGCCGGGTGGGTACTGAAAATATTGGGGGTGTGGGGGGGTACTCTGTAAAGTATGACTGTCTAACCACTATGCTGTACACCTGAAACTAATAAAAATAACAACGTAAATTGAATTAAAAAATAAAATTAAAAAATAAAAAGATTATTATTATTTTTAAAAATCCTTACCAGAGGATATGTTTTTACTGATTTTAGAGGGAGAGGAAGGGGTGAGGGCAGGAGAGAGAGAAACAAACACCAATCAGTTACCTCCCATGCCTACCCCAACTGGGATCCAACCTGCAACCTAGGTATGTGCCCTAACCGTGGAATTGAACCTGAGACTCTTCAGTGCACAGGATGATGTTCCAACCAACTGAGCCACACTCGCCAGGGCAAAACCAGAATATTTTTAAGACTTCAATTTTGGGGTGAGATTCAGAATGATTTCTATAAGAGTTTATCCACATATAAAATAAAGGCCTATGGAATTGCAAGTTTAGAGAAAGGTTTGTTTATTTTTCTGCTTAAGAGCTAAAAGCTAGATCTTCATATCCAGCTAGGCCTACAGTTCACCAATGCCGAAAGCCTACAAATTTTAATTAAGGCCTGATCTTTTAAAGCACTGACTACTAGAACCCTACTTTTAAGTGGGAGGATGGAACAGTGATGAATTAATTGGTTTTCTTAGTTAGAATTTAGGATAATTAAGTGTAGTGTAATTAAGAATGGACAATACTTATGGGGGTTGTCTTGAGATGCATAAGGGGAAATAGGCTGGATATTAAGGTTCCACTGTTCCAGAATAAAATGTTCCTGCTGCCTCTGGGGCCAGGTTTCACCTAAGGAGCCCAAGATTAGGGACAGGAGTCTTAATGCTTCTTCCTTGCTGTGTGGTACTGGACATGTAAACTCTTTGAACTTTTAAATAACTGATAGTATCTATGCCACAAGATTGTAGCAAGGATTAAATGCATCAGTTCTTGAAAGGTCTTCAGCTCAGCACTGGAGAAAAAAGAGTGAACCATCGTGTTGTCTTTTCAATAAAAATGTAAGCAGAAGTTCCTCACAATTAACAGAGACTGAACCTAAGACTGGTTCATGAAAAAATAAATGGGAACAAATGAGAAGAGAATAGTCTGATTCCTTAACCTGATTTACTTCAGAGTAATAAGAGAACAAAAGGAAAGAACCAGTAAAGTGTTCCCTAACAAATATGCTCAAGCTCTGAATACTCTTAAATCCCGCACAGAACTACCTATGTCCACAGCTAATCTCTCTCACTTCTAAGCTACAAAAAATCTTTTCACGTGAGACAGCACATGTAAAGGTTATTTTTAAATGGTAACACCTAATATATATGTATTACCATAATTTTAGGTTTTTTCTTTACTGCCACCATTAACCATCATGTTCATTTTTATCTCCCTGCTTGTATCATTTCTTCCCTCTACCAATCCAAATTATTTCCTTCAAAGGTCAGCTCAAGACTTACCTTTTTCCTAACTTCAAATGATTTTTCACTTTTAATGAATTAAAATATTGCTTATGTAGTCTACACTCTCTTCACATTTATTTATACAGCCTTATAACCGTTCTCCAGTTATTCATTTATGTACACTCCGTCTTAGTCTACATTCCTAGAGGCTGGGAATCAGGGCTTTCAATGTGTTTTATATTTTAGGCAGCTCTCAGCTCAGTGTTAACTTTTTGAATGAATCCTACCAATATGGTTCAAAATGCCAAGATACAACTGGTATCCCTTTCTAGAGGATACAAACTACATTTCTAACAGGCTCCTGTGTTGTTGAAGTGTCCCATTAATTATCAAAATTCTTTAAAAATTGAGTTAAAGTCTTTTCCTCAAAAAGAGCCATCCCATTTCTTATAGTCTAATTAGGTTTTAAGAGAAATCAGTCTCAGAGGGCCTAGTTTCCTCATCTGCAACAAATATACACCTGTAATGTATCTGTACATTAAGTAATGTATATAATCTGCTCTAAGTTTTCATGTCTTTGTGAGTCTTAGTGAATCGTCCTGAACTTCCTTGATCTAATGATGTACTGACACTCATTATTACAGTGAAACAAATTATTGCTTAGAAAATAATCAACCAGCCCGGCCGGGCGTGGCTCAGCAGTTGAGTGTCGACCTAGGATCCAGGCGATCGGGGTTCGATTCCCAGTCAGGGCACATGCCCGGATTGTGGGTTCAATCAATGACTCTCTCATCATTGATGTTTCTCTCTCTCTCTCTCCCTCTCCTGTCCTCTCTCTGAAACCAATAAAGATATATTTAAAAAAAAAAAGAAAAAAGAAAATAATCAACCGGCCCTAGACAGTGTGGGTCGGTGGTCGGTGGTTAGAGCACTGGCCCATGTACTGAAGGGTCACAGGTACGATTCCTGGTCAAGGGGACGTACCTATGTTGCAGGTTCTGGTTGGGGTGCATGGGGGAGGGCAACCAACTGATGTGCCTCTTTCACACTGATGTTTCTCTCTCTCTCTCCCCACTCCTCCCTTCCACTCTCTCTAAAAAAAATCAATGAAAAAAATTACCTCTGGTGAGGATTAACAAAAAACGAAACAAAACAAACAAATCAACCAAACAAACCTGTTACACTTGATAGAAATGATCATATTAAAAAAAAATAATAAAATCAGTATTTATGAAAGCTTTTTAAGTGTTAGTCTCTATGTATACGCTGTACAGGAATGCATAGATATAAGATAGTCTCTACTTTTTTTTTTTTAACAAGTTCTATTAAGCCTTTCCTTTTTTTTTTAAAAAATATATCTTTATTGATTTCAGAGAGAGGAAAGGACAGGGAGAGAGAGAGATAGAAACATCAATGATGAGAGAGTGATTGATCAAGCCCGCAACCGGGCATGTGCCCTGACCGGGAATCGAACCCTGATTGCCTGGATCCCAGGTCAACGCTCAACCGCTGAGCCATGCCCGGCTGGGCGATAGTCTCTACTTTCAAGCAGATTACCTTCTAATAGGAAAAGTAAGGCCTGAATACAGGAACAGTTAAATAACTTAGGTAATCTATATAAGAAATATATACATTATATGTAGGTCAGCACAAAATTAGCTGACATTTGAGGAATAAAAATGCCATCAATGCAGAGGAAGAAGAAATTACAGAGGGCAGTTGTCTGGTAAGTTTCACGCAAGAAAAAGTGGCTGAATTGAGCCTGAAAGGAGGGTTTAGATTTGGATTAGTAGAGAGGGAACTGGAAGCACAGGTATTAGGCAGGGAGGTGACAAAAGCCAAAGGCCAGAGGTAAAAAAACTAAACAATATAAAGAGGGGTTGGAGGAGACAGTCCAACAGGCTCTCAAAGCAGAACTAAGTAAGATGGTGGAGGACCCTGCATAACAAAGCAGATTAAGGAAATGGGATCTTTTTCAAGTCAGTAGTTCACAACCTTTATCCACTACACTTACGACAAGTGATAGTTTACTATTTGTGATTCACTCTAGTGACTATATCCAGATTTTTGGGTGTCGTCCACATTTTATGAAGAAGCTTTATATAAACTATCTCACCATAACTATCAACAGAGCAACCAGAAAGGCTGCTTACTATGCACCCTGGCATAAAGAGGTTATATGCAATTTGGAATGTTACATTTATAGTAAGTCCTCACTTTAATGGTGTCAACAGGTTCTATGATTCTAATTGAAATGATGAATAATGAAACTAATTTCACCATAGGCTAATTGATATAAACAAGAATTAAATTCCTACAGTATTTCACCAACGTAACAAAATGATGCTGAATGAAACATTACTTGAGAACCTGCTTTTTAACTCCCTTTTTCTTCCATGCACTAATTTATATTAAAGAAAAGCAAGTTATATCATTTATAAACCTAACTGTGTTTATTGAGTTACTTATGAAATGCTTAACCAATCTAGGTGCTGCTTTTGAGAAGAACTACTTAAGGCACAGGAGATGGTAAGCTTGAAGTAAGATGTTGGAGGCATTATTTAGGAAGATTCATTTGAAAGGATAGATAAACTGATAGAAGAGAATGGAGTTAGCAAAATCAATCAAGAGGCCCTGTTAGCCATCCAGGTTATGATGGGGAGTAACAAGAAATCATGAGGTAAAGACTGTGGAAAGGAATCCATAGATCCAAGACATATCAAAATGAAAAATGGTTGGACTTGGTTGGTGGACTGCATATAGGGCTATGTAGTAGAAAGTTACAGGTAATCCTAAGAATGTAGGCTGTAAATTGAGGAGGTGAAAAAACAAAAGTATAGGTAAATTATAATGAATAAATTTAGGTTTCAAATTGAGAAAAAGATAAGTTTGATTTCAATAATATTGAGTACGAAGTCACAAGAAGTCATTTAAGGAGCAGGATCAAGCTGCTACTGTAGAACTGGATTTGAGGAAAGATTAGGGCAAAAGACATAGATCGGAACACAAAAAGCAGAGATGATAGCTGAAAATCTTTAAGGAAGAGGTATATAAAGAGAGAAGAGTCAAGGGCGGGGGACTGATTTTAAAATTAAGTCTCTAACCTTCATCAACAGTTACTGATTATATACTGGAAGTAACAAATTTTCTAACCAACAAGAGACTGGCTATAAACTGCTGCAAATTCTGTACATAGAATGTCAAGCAGATTTCTGTACACTTATATGAAAAGATCTCCAAAATTGACTGTGAAGAGAGGGATGCAGCTTCAATATGCTTCTTTAGGGTAAAAAAGTGTATGTGTGTGTGTGTGAGAGAACATATTTATTTTTTCTTGCATACGCACAAAGAAAGTTTGGAAGAATATATATGAAATTAATAATAGTGGCTACCCAGGGAGGTGAGGAGAACCTGGGCAAATAAAGGACAGGACTAAGGACACTTTTCACTGAATAACTCTTAAAATTTTTTTTCTTTGAATTAATTTTAGAGAGAGGAAGGGAGAGAGAGAGGAAGGGGGGAGGGAGAGAGGAGGAGAGAGAGAAAAACATCGATCAATTGTCTCCCGTACTCACCCCAACTGGGGATCGAACCTATAACCCAGGTATGCACCTTGAAAGGAAATCAAACCCGCCACCTGCTGGTGTGCAGGACGGTGGTCCAACCAACTGAGCCACACTGGCCAGGGCACTATATAGCTTTTTATATATTTTCTTATTTTTAGGTCATGAGAAAGTTATTACTTGTTAAAGCTCCTTGCCCTCAGCCCTCACATCGATGTTTCTCTCTCTCCCTTCTTCTCTCTAAAATGAAAAATAAACATATCCTTGGGTGAGGATTGAAAAAATATATATTAAAAATAAAAAACCCTCGTAATAAAATCTATTCAACAGATCTTCACATCAAAAGTAATATTATTGAATAAAGTAAAATAGTGAACCTGCATTACTGTCACTGCTCCGTAAGTCACAGCTGTCCAATAGATAGAGCCAACCATTATTCCCGCTGCAGCAAATGGACAGGCTTTTGAGATCAGTCTATCTGCCAGATCCAAGACGTACACAACTGGACCTGATACAAAGAAAACAAGCAACATTTCAACACAAGAGAGATTTTAAAAAATGACTTGTTCAATATTTTTTATAGATCTTAAATATTTTAATGAGGTTGGTTGTTCTGATGCTTTAGAAATAACTGTTATGTGATGGAAACCTAGATTTGTATAGGGCTAGAATCTCTCAGTCATTTGCATGAATAGCTAAGTTTTACCTCCTAAATTAAAATAGTCTAAATTTTGTTCATTATCAGTAAATCTATGATTAAAGCCTCAAACACAGTTGCTTATAAAAGTAGTTTTCTCACTTCTCTTAATCACATTGGCTACTGTTTCAGCTTGCCCTTCCCAAACAACTTCTGGCCCCTACTAGATTCTCTAGTACTTGGTGAGAATATCACTTCTTTGACTTCACTCATTACTTCCTTGGTACAGTGTGTGAAAGTAACCAAGGCTATTTTCTTATAGTTACACCAAGCCAATCTATCTTACTTTGATTTTCAATATGCTATAATTAGTTGAGTATTATTCTCTAATAGCTTCTTTTAATGATCATAACACCAGTTTTTATGGCATTCCAACAGCTGTGTGTGCCAATTATGCTTCTATTATTACGTGCTTAACTGTGAAATCTGGCTACTACCTCCCTCTGGAATTTATTTGGAATAGCTACATTTGGAAGTATTCTAATTAACTGCCATTTAGTCCAATAATATAATTTAGCTTCAGAATTTTCCAGAATAGTGCAAGGGTCTTAGGCCTAAATTAGAGCATGGCCTAAAGAACTGAATAGCTAAGTTTAATCAAAGGATCATGAAACCGTGGTTTAGTATTCACAATAGTTGTTGAATACCCTCTACAAAGAATCTATTACTTGAGACATTTTCTTAGAAATGTACAAGTGTTATTACCTACTCCTGGGGACTTACAATCTACAGGAGGATACTATACACAAAAACAATTTATTTTCATTGTACAAAGAAATTAACATGGTAATATGATAAAATAATCAAAACTATAACAACAAGCATTTATCTTCAGAGTCTCTGAATAATACTTCCCCTTGATCGCGGAAGCCAATAATATCACTACGTCACTGTATAAAGAGAGACCACATTGTGAAGTAGAAAGAGCATCTGGAGAGACACCAAAGGACCTATGATTTGAATTTAGCGTATTTACTTACTATTGTCAAATTCTAACTTAGATAACATTTAAAACTATGACAAGGTATGTTTTGGGACCAAATAGATAAAGCAAGCCTAGTTCAGTGCATTCAGTGGACACTGACTCTACCTCCTCTATTAATAGTTATTATTTCTTGAGTGTGCACGATTCCAGGTGCTGTGCCACAGGCATTATATGTATCATTATTTAATCTCATAACGTAGGGTTTAATCCTTTAAATATGCAAATTTGCTGGGTTAAGTTTATAACTCCTCAGAAGGCACGATATAAGTCATTTTAGCCCTGGCTGGTGTGGCTCAGTTGGTTGAGCACCGTCCCATGCACCAAAAAGTTGCTGGTTTGATTCCCAGTCAGGGCACAAGCCCAGGTTGTGGGCTCAACTCCCGGTAGGGGGTATGAAGGAGGCAGCAGCTAGATGTTCCACTTTCACACTGATGTTTCTCTTTCTCTCTCCCTCTCCTTCCTCTCTCTCTAAAAATCAATAAAATATATATGCATTTTAAGTCATTTCAGTGAGTCACCAAAGATCCCTCAAATGCTGGTACCAAAAATTAAAGAGAACACTTCAACTTTCATATTCTCTGATAATTTTTAAATCAGAAAACTGAAGCCACATAAGAACTACAGACTCTACAGCACATGTACTCATCCACCAGATCCCATCCCCTCTCCAATGCAAAGCCACAACTCCAGCAATTCTCTCCTACTCTCTCACATCCTTTCCCCCTACTCGTGGCTGGATGATTTCCATACAAACATGCCATTATTTCTTCTACCTTAAAGAAACTCTTTACTTGATCCTTCTTCCCCCATTGCTCCATTTCTTTGCTCCTTTTACAACAAAATTCCTCAAAAGACGTGTTTTCACTCTTATTCAATTCTCTCTTGAACCCACTCCACCAAAACTACTCATCAAGGTCACTAACAACCTATGCATAGCTAAATCCAATCTTAGCTTTCTTATTTTGGCAACAGCTGACACAGATATTCCCTCCTTCTTCCTGCTATATGGTTCTTCATTCCATTTCCAGGGCCTCATCATCTCTTGGTTTTCTTTCCATCTCACTAGCCACTAACTTTTCAGTCTCCTTTGCTGGTTCCTCTTCTTCTTGATCTCAGAGAGTCCCACCATGCCAACTTACACCTCACTATACTTCCTATTTGATTACTCTGCTCTAGTTTTCTTTTTCCCAAAGCACTTACCACCTGACATACTCTAATGTACTTATTGTTTCCACATACTAGAATAGGGGTTGGAAACTATGGCCCATAGGCCAAATCCAGCTGGCCGCCTGTTTTTGTAAATAAAGTTGTATTGGAGCATGGATAGATATATAAAAGTTCACTGACTCCAGAACTAGAACAAAAGCTCCAAAAAGAAAATGTCTAGGTATTCCTTTTTCATTATTCTGTACAGAGCCCAAGTTACAAGACTATTTCCTACCCAGTGAGAACCAGAATTTATATGGAAAGCAGCATTTTACATGCTTCCAATGTAACTTCTTTCCTTCCTCTTTTTAACAGGGTACTTGGAACTATCTATTGGCAGAATAAAGCAATTTAATTCCTAAAAAAACTTATCAACCTTTGTACAAAAAACTTAATTCCTAGGAAGTAATCCATCACTATCACCTTTACCTATCACAAACACACACAATCTAGAGATGTTTGAATTATCTTTCCTTTAAAGATCTCAAAAGATTCTAACAAAATTAGCTCAATTTCCAATTTTCTTCCTGAATCATTGCGTGCAAACTCTTTCTGTATAAGCAAAAACAAATAAACAAAATCCTCACTCTTCATTTTCTACTCACCCTTTGGGTCATATGCAAAAGATACGCTGGATTAAAGGAAGACACTGGGTATGTTTTATGGTCCCTAATTCCAGTTTTTCTGACAAAATTGTTAAGGCTTTTGTCTTAAGCTTATTTTGTCTAAAGCTCTCAAGGCTCTTCCAGATAGAGTAATCCAAGATTAGTTCAATAATTAAAAGAGGTTAAATGTCTAGTGGTAAATATACCATTAGAATTATAAGCTGCCACCCATAGGAGGTATTTCTGAGAACTCAAGATTACCTAGGCAAGTTATTTAGTGAGTAAGAACAATCACTGAAGTCCTCTGGATGACAGTCACTAAACCAAACCCTTCCTGTCAGGAAGCTTATCATGTGCTGCTACCCCATGACTTGGGGGTTATAAAAGGAAAATACTAATAGCCACTAGGTTCTTATTGTCAGATTATAGCACAAAGAGTTATGGGAAGCGAAGAAATGCAAGACTCCAGCCCTTGAAAACATCAATTCTAATGGGGAGAAGTATGAAAAAATGCACTTTACAAGTTAAATATGTAAGGGCATAAAAAGGTTTCAATATTTTAAAACGGCATTATTGAATTTTTAATGCCTCAGTGGGCTTCACCACTTATGTTTTCAACAGTATTGTATTTACATATGGATGACAAAAGGAAATCTATTGTGAATTCTTTCATAAAATAAAAAAGCTTTTGGCCCTGGCTGGGTTGCTCAGTTGGTTGGAGCATTGTTCCATGCACCAATAGGTTGTGGGTGCGATCCCTGGTGGGGGAGCATACGGGAGGCAACCAATTGATGCTTCTCTGTCACATCAATGTTTCTCTTTCCCTTCCTTTCACTCTAAAATCAATAAAAAAAAAATCCTTGGGTGAGGATTAAAAAAAACCCAAAAACTTTTGTAAAAAAAATAACTACACCCTAATATTTTGGGTAAATTCAAATTTTGCTGCAGCTGTGATTTAAATTCAAGTCTAGCCCGGCCGGGCATGGCTCAGCGGTTAAGCATCGACCTGGGATCCAGGCGATTGGGGTTCGATTCCCGGTCAGGGCACTTGCCCGGGTTGTGGTCTTGGTCCCCCGTTGAGGGCGTGCAGGAGGCAGCCCATCAATGACTCTCTCATCATTGATGTTTCTATCTCTCTCTCTCCCTCTCCTTTCCTCTCTCTGAAATCAACAGATATATTTAAAATATATATATATTAAATTCAAGTCTATATGTATGAATGGTGTTCAAGGCATATCTCCAAAGATAAGTTAATGAATGAGGGGCAGGCAATACTTAGCATTCAACATCTACTGGCACTGCTTACAATAATACCTGGAATTCCTAAGACCTTTCTCAAGGATAGAAAGGTATTCTCAAAAATACCCTGACCGATTCTTGAAAAATAATTTCTGTGTTACTGAGTGCTATAGTTTCTAACACAAAACATAATTTAATGAGCATTTTTAGGTAATTCATAAGATAACTAAGATGATTGTAGCTCCCATGAACTGCAAGGTTTCTGTTAAGCGGCCAATACTTTATAAAAAGAGAATTAACAAGCAAATAGATTGCTTGCAGAAACTACTCAAGTTTCTAAGTTTGTTTTTTCTTTGCAGTGAACTATTTTGCCCTAGACCCAATTTAAACGGCAACTTGTTAAGTCAAAACATCAACTCCACTTTCAGATTCTGAACTACCCAGAACTGCAAGTTTTGGAGGTCACCAAGAGTCCAATAATATAGTTTTAAAGTTCTCTTCTTGCTCCAAGTCTTCTTTTTGTTGCACTGTTTCTGGAATGTCCTGTCTCTATTTTTATTGAGTCTGTATGAAAACCCAACTACCCAATGAAAACTAACCTAACCTGACAGAAGTTGACTTAATTGCTCTACCCACCCTGCTCATGTCCCAAGAGGCTTCCTTTATACACTATCCCACAAAATGCACTTACCCCTTTGCTTGTGCATAATGTTAGTGCTTTATGTTCTTGTTCAATGTTTGTTCAGTTGTCTCAATATCCTTTATGTCTGTCCATG